TCCTTTCTCCCTGTCGGGCAGGGAGCTCTGTGAATTGAATGAATCCATCTCCCTACAGAAAACAAGGCAGGCTCCCGGCAACGCCCTCCTCCCTGTGCCTGACCTCGCCTAGGCTGCACCGAGAACCCACCAGCCTCCTGAAGAATTATCCAAAGAGCAACTTTGTGTTGCTCCCGCGACCCTGTAGACCCTTCATCTCAGGGAGATGGTCCAGGGAAAGGCCAGCCAGCTGCCGCTCTGCCCTGTGGTCAAAAACCAAGTCCAAGTCCTGGTTCTTCGTATCTCTAACCAGAGTAATGGCCAACACGCTGGACGTGATGCACGCTGAAGCGGCCTCTGGGGCCTGAGTGAGAGTACGGGGCGAGGGTCCCCTTCCCTCCTTCCCCCGGAGCCCCCTCGGGGTCCTTCCCCGTGTGTCAGCTGGCTGGAGACAGGGGACAGGGAAGGGGCAGGGAGAGGAGAGGAGCCCTGCCCGTCAGGTGCTGTGGCCAGCTGGCCCTGTGCTTGGGGTTCCTACAGGATTGGCAGTGGACTCCCTCGGGCCTTTTGTGGGCCACTGGGGTGTGCCAGGCGGGCTCCTGTGGCTCTGTCTCCCTCCTCAGCCCCAGAAATCCAAGTCCCCCCCCCAAGTCCTCCTCCCTGGGCCGTGTGCCCCTCTCGGCTGCCCCTGAGAATCACAGAAGATCCCCAGGCCAGCTCGCTCCATGGGGCACACTCCCACTGCCTGAACAAGGGACACGGTGTGATATGGCCGTCACCAGGTGCAACCACCGTGCCACCTATGTGTGCACTTGGGGGACACACCCCAAGCTTTGGGAGGGTCCCACCTAAGTCCCTTTGGTTCCGGGGGGAGGGGCAGGTACCCGAAGGGCAGGCCGGACGCCCTCTCTGAGCCTCCCTGCCCCCATGGTCTCTGTCAGGCAGACCCCGGCCTCCAGCCCTGGAAACGTGTGGGCTGGGCTGGGGATCCGAAGAGCCCCTCTCTTTCGCGTGCGATGTCCACGGTGCTTGGTGCCACCGTGAGCCACAGGGCCAGGCCGCCCTGGACTATGTCTCTGACTCCGCTGCCCACCTTGTCCAGGGGCTGGTTCACAGCCTCAGCGCAGACAAACCCGGGCTCAAATCCCACTTCACCACTTAGGGCCTCTGTGGCTCCGGGCCTCTGAGACCCTCTGGAGTCTTCTGTCTGCAAAACGGGGCTGCCATGGTGGCCTCAAAGGATGGTTTAGTTGTGCCCAGCCAGTGCCCGTTTTCTAGATATTTTCTTCCCCTTCTGTCTTCGGCCATCTCCAGCCCCACTGGCCATGTGTGTTCCTGCTTTCAGTCCACCGATGGCCTCCAGGCCTCCAGGCCACCAGCGTGCCCCTCCCTCACGCCCCCAGACAGAATTAGCGCCCCCCCCCACCAGCCTTCTCACCCCTGTTGGGCTGGGGATGTTGCCCAGGCAGGGAGCCCCTCCAGGCCTCGGATGGGCCTGTGACCTAACTGGTACTCCTTAAATGTTCACTGGAGGTGCCCCACAAACGGCAGCTGAAAAGAATCTGTGGACACGGAAATGACTGTGACTCTGTCTGTAGCCCTGAGCTTTGACAGGGGGACACTTAACAGCCACCCGGAGCAGCCTGCATCGCAGAGGGGGCCTCTCAGAGGCTCGGTCCAGGGGAAGCTGGGCTGCCGCGGTCCAGGCTCTGGGGCACTAACACCCCAATCACAGCAAGAGGCATCGGAGGCAACGGGCTGCACCATCAGGCCAAGACCCAGGCGCCTTCTCGGCAGTGGCGGGTCTCCCTCCTCCTCAATTTTCCACCTGCTGTCCCCAGGTTGTCTGTCCTTCCTCGTGTCGACAGAGACTCGCCTCCCTCTTCGCTGCTGGAAAGTGCGATTTCTCCGAGGTCTGAGGCTCTCCTCTCCCAGCCGGGGCCGCCCACGGTCATGATCCTAACCCTCTGACCTTAAAAAATAACGAACTCTGGCAGAATGCAGAACAAGCCATCTCTTTTTATAGATTTCCCCCGAGTTGTAAAGATTGGCTTGACCACACTGGCACATTACATCATTTTCTAGAAGGATACCTCAAATGGGGAAACAATTTTTAAGACGATTGGATGAATGTCTTCCTTCCTGGACAAACAGGAAGGTGGCCCCATAGCCGGGACAGCGTGTCCAGCCTCGTCAGGCCTCCCAGACACACGGAGCAGAGATGCAGGAGGCCCCGGGGGGAGGGCCCTGGCGAGGTCGGGTTCCGACCTCCCGGCCCCCAGGAGGAAGCAGTGGCCTGGTGCCGTGGCCTGGAGAGCAGAACAGGACGATGTGGCTAAAAGAGTGGCTAAAAGAGACTCCTGAGCGGAGTCTGGGGGACTGGGTGGGAGGAGGCCGGGGGAAGAGGCCGGCGAGCCGGGCACAGGGGCCTCAGGGGTGGACACAGGGCGGGAATGGGCCGTGGTGGGAAGGGCGGGGGAACTCCAGCATGACCTCGCTAAGCAGGGCAAGGAGGCCCTCTGGCCCCTTGTCCTGAGCTGGGAGCCCGGGGATCATGCAATAATGACCCCTTCCTCTGCCGGCTGCACCCCCCTCCCGGCTGCCACATCTCAACCCTGAAACAGGGCCCCTTGGCTGTTGTGGTCATGGCCCCCCTGCTGTGGAGCCCAGAGGTGTATAGTGCCTGGGAACCCCTTCCGCTCCACCCCTCCCCCCCCACCCACACCCCACCCCGGGGGGGGAGAGCCCTGGGTGCCGGCTCTGGGACTCCTCTGAGTGTGAGCCTCATCAGAGTCACGAAGGACAGCAAAACCGATCTTCGGTGACATCCAGCCGATTCCCTGGGACTGTCACTGCCTTTAGTCCTTCGGAGGAAGGGGTATCTCTTTAGCTGCTCAACAAGAGGCTCAGCATATCAGTGTGGCCGGAGCTTGGAGGGATTGATGGGCGTGGAGGCTCTGTCCTGTCCCCGGGGGACCCAGCACAAGGCTCAGCGGAAGAGCCCGGAGAAGGGTCCAGCCTGGCCCCACACCGGCCCCGTACCGCAGGCAGGCAGCCCCGTGCGCCTCCCTTTCCCCAACAGCAAAATAAATCTGGCAGCCCTCTCGGAGCTTCTCGAATGCATGATCTTCTCCCGATGAACAACCCGGCTGGCGTGGTCTCGGCTGCTTGCTGCCGACCTCGGTTTAGAGCTGCCTGTTGTCCAGCTGCTGGGGAAGTCCAGGGCCTGAGGCACACGGAGACGGAGCGGGCTCGTGCGCCAAGGGCTGGGGTGGGAGACGGCCGCGGCTGATGTGGCCCGGAGTCTGGCTGCATGTCAGGAGCCTGCAGGTGGGGGGAGGCCCAGGCAGACTGGGGCAGTCGTGGGGGGCTTTCAGATGGCTTTCCTAGGAGCCTGTGATGCGGAGGGGTGGAGGGGGAGGAAGGAGGCGGCCCCCGCAGAACCGCCTTTGTAATGGTCGTCGGACATCCTGGTCATGGCTGCAACGGCTACTTGTGTCCATAGAAACGTTCAGATTCAGGGCAAGGTTTGTTTCCTCTGATGCCTGGCGTGCCTCCGCCTTCAGCCTGGGGAGAGCCGGGGCTCCCCTCTGTGCGTCTACTCCCGGAAAAGTTCTTCCTGCCAGGAAACGTTTCTTGATTTTGTCTCCTGCCTCCTTCCTCTTTACTCCTCATCCTTCGGAAGCTTTGGGTCTTTTCAAACCGGTGCTCTTTTCCAACGTGGCTTCTCTCTCGGCCTTCCAGTGGGGAGGTGGTTAGGAGTGTGGGGTCCGGAGTTGGGCTGCCTTGGGCAGGGCTGTGGCTCCGCTCCCTACCTGCTGAGAGACTGAAAGCCAGCAGGGTGACCTTCTTGACCGCCGGACTCTTCTTCTCTGTGAACTGGAGCTCTCACACACTTTGCCTTGGGTGTGTGGGGAGACGCAGGGCTGTACGTACAAGCACTTGGCTTTACTGTGCACAGTACTGCATGCAAGGCGGGAGTGTGAGCCAACACTCTTCAGGAGTGACAGAGCTCGGGAGGAAGAAGGGACGGAAGCGGCCTGCGGGGTAAGCCCCCTCTCTCTCCTTTTCCTCCCCTGCAGGAGGACAGTCGGTGACCCACGTTGGTGCCCCTATTGTGGTCTCTCTGGCCAACAAGTCCGTTTCCTTCAGCTGCAAAATCTCCCACACCCCTGAACTGAAGAACTTCACAGCTTGGTACTTCCATGTGGACCTCCAGAGCCAGAGGAGCTCTGAGAAGCGCATTACCTGCTCACCTGACCCGGTCAGAGAGAACCAGATGCACAGCGTGACGTGCCGGGTCACCCCCAAGCTGCCCGACGCGTCAGCCACCGGCACCTACTATTGCTCCTCGCATTGGTCCAACTTGATAAGAATCAGCAGCGGCGTCTTCATCCTGGTCAGAGGTGGGGCTCCCTTCGGGGCTCTCCCCCGGGCGGAGGGCCCAGAGATTTCACACCGCACGAGTTGAGCCCCGATCTAAAGCAGGGGGCGCCTCTTCTATCAGCTTTGGCAAAACAGAACAAGGTGTCCTCGGGGAGCCGCCCCCCCCAGCCGCTGCACGGGCGTCCCGACATCTACCCTGGTTCGGGAAGGGCAGAGGCCTGGGATGGAGCTGTGCTTCTGGCCACCCCCAGCAGGTGCCTGAGAGAGGTCACTGGGCCTCGGTGTCCTTCCGGCACAGTGTGGGGGGTGGGGTGGGCACAAGTAGGTCTCGTGCACGTGTGTGTTGGTGGCAGCCCGTGAGCGAGCGCTCAGCCTGCGTACATATTTCCGGGAAAGTTTCCTAGTTTCATCTCGTCCTCAAAGCAGCGGTGACTAGAGGCCATTACGAACAGCCTATCAGCAAAGCCATGAGTCTCTGATCTGCCTCTGTGTCTCCCACCAGTGGGGGCGGGGGCCAGGGGTGCCATGGAGCTGGGCTGGCCAGGATGTGGCTGTGGGCCTGGCCTTCACGGCAAAACCCTGCCCATCCAGGGCTTTCATGGGGATGAATGAGATCCTGCGTGTAAGGGCTGGTGTCTGGTGATAGGAAATGTTTGATAAATAACAGACCCTGATGTGCCTGGCACGTGCTTGGCACTCTGCAGTTTTCTGCCAGCCAGATGGAGGCGGGGAGGGAGGGAGGGAGGGATGGATAGAAGGATGGACTATGCCCTTCACCCACCCCTGGTGCGGGCCAGCCACCTGCTAGGCCTGGGACAAAGCTGGCCCCTCACCCTCACCGCACCCGCCCACATGAGCCTCCTTTCACCTGCGGGAAACAGGAGGCCCTGGGAGAGACCGTGACTTGCCTAGGGTCCTGCAAGCAGCAATCTGTGGCTCCAGTCACCCCGAGACAGGGGCACTCGAGAAACAAAAGATGCGGTCCTTGCCCTTAACCAGAATCAAGGCAGCAGGCACAGAAAGGGGCTTAGCCCTACGCGAGGGCCTTGGTAGAGGTCAGGGTTTGGGGGTTCCTTCGTGGGGGGCAGTGTGAGAGGAGTCCTGGGTAAAGGAGAACATAGGAATCGGGGGCCTGGGGGGCTGGCACAGTGGGGTTTGCCCTGGCCTTTCTCGGGTAACTAATCCTGAGCTTTCCTGCCCCCCTCCCAGACACAGGGTACCAAGAACCCCCACAAGGCTCCCAGAAGCTCCTGTTACTGTGTTTCACGGGCCTCCTGACTGCGCTGAGCATCTTGGTCACCGCTCTGCTCCTCTGGAAGAAGGTAGGGGACACACACACATAGCTCTTTCTCTACCCCGTTCCCTGTGGCTTCAGGGACACGGTGTCCCCATGGGCTGTGGCCTCTGGCACCGGGGGCCCCTCCCTTGCCAACTCATCACCACCAGGTCCCTTTCGATCTTGTTGCTCGAAACCACGGTTCTTCGGCCTTTTCCAGGTCGTGGGCCCTTCTGAGTCTCTGATGGAAGGCTCAGGCCCACATGCTTCCCGTTTCTAGCCCCCCCAGATTAGAAGCCCCTGTCCCCAGTTTTCTGGATCCCCAGATGCTCAGGAGGAAGGAAGAGCCACAGTGAGGCCAGGCATTGTCCCCTTTCCTCTGATCTGTGTCCCACCGTCACTCTGCGGGGGAGGTGTCCTCCCATTGCACAGCCCTGGGAAGTGAGACCCAGAGAGGGGGTGACCTTCCCCCGGTCACGCGGAAGGCGTGCGGCAGTCAGGGCTGGAGGGCAGGTGGATCGGGCGGTTTGGTCCAGCTCTGTGCCAGGCAGCAAGTGCCACGCAGACAGACACCAAGGCAAGCTTGTTCCTGTGGCTCCGCGCGTGCCCAGGTGTGGCAGGTGCTCGGTAACTGTCGGGCGAAAGAATAATGCATTACCCAGAGGGTGCCAGGTTCTGCCCGGCTCTGGGGTGCAAAGCAGGCTGGCAGTGCTCTGGGCTGCGGTTGGGACCCTCTGTTCTGACTCCTTGAATGCTTTAAGCAGAACAGCTCAGGCCACTGCTAGGCCCTCTAGGGACCGAGAGCTTCCCTGCTCCTCGCCAGCCTCGGGGGCCGAGCCTGGGGAGCAGCTCAGTCAGCTGAGGCGCTGAGTATGGGGAAAGGCCTCTGTGGCACCACGGGGGCTCCTTCAAGGGTCAAGAAAGGTTTAGTGGCTGCACCCAAAGTGCCGGTCCCCATCTACACCCAGGGAAGGCCCCCTCCCCTCTCAGACGGGGATTCACGTGTTGGTTCATTCAACACTTATTTATTGAGCACCTACTAAATTCCAGCAGTAGGCCCTGGGGCTACAGCAATGACTTAAATTCATCCACAAGAAAGCTCTGCCTTCGTCGAATTTGTATTCCAGCCGAGGGGAGACAGACTATAAACAAATACACAAATAAGTAGCATAACGGATGTGATCAGTGTTGGGGGAAAATATAGCAAAGCGAAGAGAGGAGTGAGTGTGGAACGAGGGAGTTTGCAGTTTTAAGTAAATAGTCAGGAGGGCCTCCCCACACCACGCCTGGGAGGGAGCGGGCCAGGCAGGCATCAGGAAGAGTGTGTCCCGCAGGGGAATAGCAGGTACGGGTGCTCTGAGGCAGGAGCTGCAGGGAGACCCACGTGGGTGGTATGGCCTGAGTGCAGGGAGGTGGGGGGGGGTGGATGGCGGGCCTGGGACTTGAACGTGGGCCTCAGTTTCCCATGATGCCTCAAGGCTGGAGACATAATCGCTCTTCCAGAAAAGGCTCCAAGGTGACAAAAAGAAGCCGACGCGGCTGCTTTATCTGCCGTAAGCTTCCGGAGGCTGCCTCTCCTGCCAGCTCTGAGCCAGAGCCTGGTGACCTCAGCGGCCCATCCAGTTCCTCTCCTGTCCTGTGATCCGCCTCGGGATGCCACGGGCATGGGCTGTGACCTTGGCATGACCTGTTCCTAATTTGGCTCGTCCTGCTGACAAGCTGCAGCAGTCCACTCTGCTCTGGCCGGGTGCGGGCTCTGCCTCTGTGGGCCCTTGCCCTCCACCTCCACCCCTGCCCCTGGCCTGGACACAGGGACAGCTCAGCTGAAGGCAGAAGACGGCGGGAAAGGCTTCTCTGGGCCTCCTGGGAATCCCAGGGTGAGGACAGAGACCCACCGGCCACCGGGCTCACTCTCCCTCCCTCAACCAACGTGTGCTGAGCTCCTACTGTGTGTCCGGCTTGGCCTGCGTCCTGCCTCACGGCTGCTCTCCCCATGATGGCGGCGGCCAGGACGGCTCTTGACTCGATTGTTCAGTGAGCAGCTACTGGAACCGGGGTGTGGACCCAGAAACTGTGCTTCAGGCAGGGGTGATGAAGGACCCGCCCTCCGGCTGCGGACCCCCCACGCCAGGCTCATGTGAGTGATCGCACAAGCGGCTCCAGCGGCCACAAAGCACAGCAGGTGGAGGGCAGAGCCGGGTCAGGGCGAGACCTTGACCCCGAGCCTCCGCTTCAGCCGCTGCTCGGCAAAAAGAGGATCGTAATGACTGGATCTCAGAGACCTGCAGGGCCAGGGAGACACCGGGCACAGAGTAGGTGCTCAGGAAAGTCTTGGTTGGGGGGGTGGCGTCAAACTCAGCCCCGGCTTGACTTCCGATCCCAGCCCCTCACCCCGCCGCTTGGCTCAGTAACTCCTACCTTCCCTGTCTCCTTCCAGGAATAGTTCTCGAATATCTAGTACATGCCAGGCACTGGGCTGAGTGCCAGACACAGTGGAAAGCATGACAGATGCAGTCCCTGCCCTCTAGTCAAGCTACAGCCCTCTCGGAGCCTCGGTTTTCCCCTCCAGAAACAGGGAGAAGGGTCTACTTTCCCCCTCCCCTGGCCAGGGTGGAGGAGACGGCATTTGCGAGGCCCCAGCGGGGGCCCGACCCCCAGGGGGGAGTGCAGCGCGTGGATACTTCTGTCTTCCCTCCGCGCGTGTATGGGAGGGAGAGCTAGTGCAAGAGCCTGGCCTTGAAGGAGAGAGAGCTCGGAAGACCGGAAGCCGCTGCCGGGTTCGTGTTGTGTCCCCAGAGCAGCCTGGGGCTGGATCCGAGCTTGGGATGCAGACCCTGTGGATGCCGCTCCGGAGGGGGACGGCCCCCAGTGGCCCATTAGCCCATCATAGGCCAGTGTGGTTTGAACTGAGTGCGGAAACCGAGCATGCAGGGGGGAGGTCGGGGCGGGGAGGAGAGGTGAGGTGGTCACCAGCCCGTGACCAGGCCAGGCAGTCGGCCGTGGGGGCCAAGAGGAGAGGTCCAGGGAGGAGGAGGCTTGGACGACCCCAGGAGCACAGGCAGCTGTGAATAAATGAATCGAGGCCGGGAGCTACTGGCCCAGAAAAGGCCAATGATTTCCTGGGACGGCTCCCACCCAGCTTGGGGATCAAGGTGGGCTTCCCGGAGTGGGCTGATCTGTCCTCAGCCCTTAAGGGCCTCTGACACAGCAGGTCTCCCTCCTCCACCGCAGTTTTTTTACCTGGGTTCTAGGATCCCTGGGCAGCCCTGGGCTGGTCACCCCCATCTAAACGTGGCGAGTCTCAGGCCCCTTCCTTGGCGCTTTCCCTGCTCTGTCTACACTCCCTGGTGATTGCTTTGCTCCTGAATTGACGTCTCTCACCCCTGACGCTCCCCAGGCTCCTCCCTGAGCTCCAGACCATGCCCACTGTGTGAGCCCCACAGCCGTCCACACCTCCTGTCCCTGACACCACTCTTTAGCATCCCAAGTCTGCCCTGTCTCTGCAAATGGCGCCATGCCCCCAGATGCTCAGACCAAAGGCTTAGAGGACAGGGACTTTGTCTCCCCCTTGTGGGGGGGGGTGCTGACACACACTAGGTGCTCGTGGGAGGAATGGCTTAGTCAGTAAGCACTGAGACCTGGAAGAGGAGTTGGAGGCGGCCAGGCTGTGAGGTAGGCAAGGCAACAGGACTTTCCCATTTTACAGAGGGGGAAGCTGAGGCTCTACAGGTTTCCTGACCTGCCTGTGGCCACAAGGATTGGTTTATTCATTTGAAAATCCCAAGTGGAATTGACTAACTAAGAGCAAGTGTTAGTGGTGGGGGACAAGGCACCCGGGTAGGCAAGGCTGTCTCCAAGGGACGCAGCATCCCCAGCCCCCCCGTAGCAAAATGCACCCATCTGGTTTTTCAAGGGGGGCACCCCCTGGGCCTCATCCTCCCACCACCCACCCCCCACCGCTCCTGAAGATCTCTTGCCTTGCTACCGCCCCCTGCCGCTCAACCCACCCCGGCAGAAGTGGAGAAGCCTTAGAAAATGCACATCTCACCAAATCTGCCGGCTTCGAGGCTGCGGACCCCGCCTCGTGTGGCGATGCCCTCGCCAGCCGCCTCCTCATCTGCTTTCATCTTTCACTTCCATCAGCTACTTTCTATCTGACAGTCCAGCCTCCGGCATGTCCCTGACGTGTGATATTCCTGCCCTCAGGCCCTTCTGTGCATTGTCCCCACGGCCGGTGACACTTTCTCAGTCTCTCCTGTCGTCAGGAGGCAGGGCAAGCCCTCAGACGCCGGCCCCAGCCGGCTCCTTCCCACAGCCCCACGGGGCACTTACCTCCCTGGTGGCCCCACTGCTCTCAGGAGAAGCACCTTGAGGACAGGCCTGGGTCTCGCTCCCCATGGGCCCAGAAGAGCCCCTGCCCATGAGCACACACCCAGCAGCCTTGGCGGGTCCAGCGAGGCGAGGGGCACCAGGCCCCCGGCTGATGTGAGGTGAGCCACGGCCTCTGACCATGACGGCCGGTGCAGGGGAGGGACACTAGATCTGAAGCAGGACATCTGGGTTCCGTACAAAGACAGTCACTGACTAGCCAGACATGCCTCAGTTTACCCCTCCGTAAAGTCTACTTCCTCTGGCTGTAAAGAGAATCAAGTGAGAACAAGAGCAATCTCGGGGCTTGTTTGCAAACTGCAAGGTGCCACACGGGTGCCCACGCCGTTCTAACCGTCTAGGAGACCCACACGTTCCAACAAAACAGAGAGGCGAAAACAGATACTGTCGGGTCAGCGCCTTGGTGAATCACGCAGAGCCGGGTTCAAACCCTACCCCTGCCCCTTCCGGCTCTGCGGCCTCAGGCAAGTCGCCTGCCATTTCTGAGCCTCCCGGTCCTCACGTGTGGAACGGAGGCGACACGGAGATTTGTTGTGTAGGTTTGCTGAGAAGCACACGAGATGGGGCGGGCGATGCGCTCAGAGCGAGCCCCACCGATATCGGTGAGGCCGCTTCTCCCAGGCGATGATTAGGCTGAGAGGGGGTCGTGCTGGCTTCTCCCGGACAGCTAAGGAGCTCTGGAGAGCTAATGCCGGGGAAACGGCTGGGGATGGGCAGCCGGCCTGTGCCCGCCGCCCACCTGTCTCCCTGCAGGCCCACCACCAGGGCCTCCCAGCAGCTGGTGTGAGCTTTCTGACACCTGCTTGCCAGTCCCCACACCTCCTGCTAGAAGAGCTCGGACACTTTCCACCGACCACACTGTGAGCTCCGCCCTGCGCATCCGGGCAGGTTCACCTCCCTCTAACCACGTTGGTTGTCTTTAAGTTCCTGGAGACCTCAGGGCCTTGGGACATGCCGTTCCCTCTGCCTGCCTCCCCTCCCTCTCTTGCCAACGTAGTTTCTCAGCGCTTGGGTTTACAGCACCCTTTCCACCCGGTGAGGTGCGTGTCGGCCAGAGGCTCTGTCCTGTCGGTCAGCACACGAACCAGGCTCTGGCAAAACTGTGAGTTCACCGTCTGTCTCCCCACTGCGTTCTTAGTTCCAGGAGCACAGAGACAGCGCCCACCTCTTCGGACCACCTGGCTAATGAGAGGTGGCTGACAAGCATGTGTTGCTTGGCCAAGGGCCACCTGGTGCCACCTGAATGCCAAGCGCTGGAGAAAGTGAGGCCCAGGAGGGGAAGTGGCATGTGTGAGACCTCAGAGCCAGTGAGGGGGCAGAGTGGGCCTGGACATCTGGTCCAGCTGGCACTTGCCCAGGACCACCCACGGCAGTCGGCTCCGTTGCCAGGGACCCTGTCACACTGGCGCTGTGCCTTGCACTGCCTGTCCCCCCGAGCCAGGCACGGTGTCCATGGGCAATGCCCCGCGAGGGCCTTGACCTTTCTGTAGGTGCAGGCAGATGAATGGCTTGATGTGGGTGCTGGAGGCATTTGCCCCGTTTCCTCGGAGAAGGAGGGTGGCAGGAGGCGCGAGCGATCAGTTTGTGAGCAGCCCCGTGACGATCTGCTATCTTCCCTGCGGGGTGGTGTGCGAGGAGGGAGCTGGGCCTCCCGGCCCTGACAGCCGTGATGCCCTTCTTCACAGAGACAGATGCGGGCTCCCCGGAAGGGCCTGGACCCCAGCACTGCCCACCGCCAGGAGCAGCCTCCGACCGAGTCCATCTACACGGTGAGTCTTGGGGCCTGCGCCCCCTCTGCCTCTCTCAGGCCTGACACAGGGTCTGGTTTGCTGGCTCGGTCACATACCAGCCATGTGACCTCTGGGCCCCTTGTTCGTGGTCTGTAAACTGGGGACAAGAATTCTAACCTGGCTGAATTTCCGTGGGGATGAGCGTCCGTGTGGCCCCCGGCCACTGGCAGGCATGTAGCTGTGAGGTGCCACCCGGCCCCCCCTCCCTGGCACGCCCCTCTCCTTCTGGGATGAAGACCAGCGAGGGCACAGGGTGGCGAGGGATGAAGAAAGTTCCTTCACCCGACCGGGTGATGCTGACCAGCTCACCAGCTCCTTCCTGTTTGTTTTTTTGTTTGTTTGTTTGTTTTGTTTTTAAATTTTTGACAGAGAGAGAAAGAGAGAGAGAGTGAGCTAGGGAAGGGCAGAGAGAGAGAGAGACACAGAATCCAAAGGAGGCTCCAGGCTCTGAGCTGTCAGCACAGAGCTTGATGCGGGGCTCAAACTCACGAACCGAAAGATCATGACCTGGGCCGAAGTCGGACACTTAACCGACTAAGCCACCCAGGCGCCCTTCCTTCCTGTTTTTATTGCACAAACAGCAGCACAGCAAACAACAAGAATCGCAGAAAGAGGAAAAGGTCAGGCACCATCACAAGCCCTTAACACATCATTGCTTTTCAATTTTTCACACCTCCTTTCCCCCACGCACACGCACTGTTTTGTATCCTTAGAATCAAGCAGAGACACGAGCTGGGCTGTTGTGTCATAAGCACTTCCTGTCGCTGGACCTGTCTTCGTCCTTACCAGAGGAGGCTCAGCCTGGCGATCCCGCTGGGTGTGAGCCCACCCACGGGTCCCTAGGCGGCCCCGCTCTGCCCAGCGGCTGGGAATGTGGCAGTCGTGCCTTTTTGGCTCTGTCTAGTTTAGTTCCACAGGCAGCGTGTGCTCACTGTAGAGAAAGTGAATCAATGCCTCCCCGTGTCTGCTGGGGGCTCAGCTCTGTGAGACGAGCGCTGCCAGGTCAGGATCTTGGCTTCACACCCGGGTGGTGCCAAGCCTTGCTGGGGACCTGCGGGTCTTCCCCAGGGAGTGTTCCAGGGTCGCCCCTGCACGGTTCTGCCCGGATCTGCTGTCGCTGGCCTGTTCCCACCACTCAGACACACATGAGACTCTCGGGTCTACACAGAGGGCATGCCAAGTACGGCCCTATTTCCTGAGGATGGGGACAGATGGGGACTAGGCAAAGGCGGTGTCCCTCCAGCACCAGCCGCTCCCAAGGGCAGCCCCCCACCCCGGGGAGTTTCCACCGGCCACTGCAGCCCACGTGGCCTCACACTTCCCCATGTTCTCTCTGCTCTCCTGACGGCTCGTGGTATTTTCCCTGCAAGAGATCCTGATGTCAGCTTTTGAATAAAAACATTTCTCTCTCTATCTCTCTACACACACATACACACACACACACACGATCTTTCTCTCTCTCTCCCTATATATGTGTGTGTGTGTGTGTGTGTGTGTGTGTGTATCTATGAAGCAAATAGCCATCATCCTAAGCCTACTTCCTTCCAGGATAAATACTAGTAACATCGACTTCTATACCTTCCAGTCTTTTTTCTATAAATACATACAAAAAGACCCATACACACACTCACGCGTACTTTTTTTTTTTTTTTTTGGAGTAGTACAGCTATTTTTGTTCATGTTGCAATATCTCATGAACATCTTTCCACATGAATAAATATCCTTCTATGAGAGTAGTTTTAATGGAAGAGACTAGCTTCTGCATGGAACGGCTTCTGCCTGTGCTTAGACTTCTCTGAGGCTCAGGCCGACTTCTCCAGACTGTGCAGAAGAGCCTCGACAGCCCCACAGGGTTAAAAGGTGGCTTCAAGAGATTTTAGGACAAGAAAGGAGATGGGAAGAAGGGAGGCCATAGACTTTGGTGGCTCTTGAGACTGGTCCCTACCAGCTGGGCAGAAAGGAATGACATTAACAACAGGAGTAATGGCCTCAGGAGTGCTTGTTGAGTGCCTACTATGTGCCAAGCACTTAGTGGGACTCTATACCTGTTAGGTCATCGAGCCTCATATTAGGGACTTCAGATACATGTGCTCGCCCCATTTCAATTTTATCTTCTAATTGTCTATTGTTAGTATGTAGAAATATGATTGGTTTTTGTATATTGACTCTCTATAGAGCGACCTTGTTGAATTCATTGATTAATTCTGGGTTTTTTTAATGTGTAGTTTTGAGAGAGAGAGCGTGAGCAGGGGAGGGGCAGAGAGAGAGGGGGGCAGAGGATCCACAGCGGGCTCTGTGATGCCGGGCTCCAACTCATGAACCGTGAGATCATGACTTGAGTGGAAGTGACTCAACTTGTGACTTGAGTGGATCATGACTCAACTGACTGGGCCACCCAGGTGCCTCTTATTTATTAATTCTAATAGGCCTCTGCAAATTCCTTTGGATTTTCCATGAAGCCATTCTATTTGTGTCATCTGCGAATAATGCAAGTCTCATTTCTTCTTTTCCAATCCTCATATTTAAAACATTTTTTTAAAAAATTTTATTTTAGATAGAGAGAGCACGAGTGGGGTAGAGGGGAAGAGGGAGAGAGAGAATCTTAAGCAGGCTCCTCGCTCAGTGCAGAGCCCAACACAGGTCTTGATCCTACGACCTGAGCTGAAATCAAGAGTCAGTTGCTCAACTGATTGAGCCACCCGGGTGCCCCCAATCCTCATACTTTTATTTCTTTTTTCTTCCTTTATCACACTGCCTCAGACCTCCAGTGTGATGGCGAGTAGAAATGGTGACAGCAGACATTCTTGTCTATTTCCCAATCTCTGGAAAAGGATTTTTGTACATTTCTCCTCTACTTTCTTTGGATGGATATTTAGATTATCAATTTTCCATCTTTTTTTCCTCCTTTTCTTTTTTTTTAATGTTTACTTATTTTTGAGAGAGCACGAGCAGGGGAGGGGCAGATAGATTGGGAGAGAGAGTCCTAAGCAGGCTTTGCCCAGTCAGCGCAGCACCCCACACAGGGCTCAGTCCCATGAATCGTGAGATCGTGACCCAAGCCAAAATCAAGAGTTGGACACTCAGCCGACTGAGCCACCCAGGCATCCCAATCTTTCTTCTTTTCTAATTTATGCATTAAAAGCTATGAACTTCCCTTTAATTATGGCTTTAGCTGTATCCCACACATTTCGATATGTCATATTTTCATTATCTTTCAGTTTAAACTTTCTGTTGAGATTTCTTCCTTGCCCCATGGGCTGTTTAAAAGTATTTTGCTTCATTTTCAAATGTTTAATTACTTTCTAGTCATGTTCCTTTTTTTATTTCTCGCTAATTCCACTGTGATCAGGGAGTATATTCTGTATGATTTTAATCCTTTGAAGTCTCTTGAAAGTTGCTTTATGGCTTAGCCTGTATTCTGTGTGCACTTGCAAAGAACTTGAATTGTGCATGGCTAAGAGTTCTACATGTGTTAATTAGGTCAGTCTGTTGATTATGCTGTTTAAAATATTCCATTTCCTTTCGATGTTTTTTTTTTTTTTGGTCTATCAGATGTTCAGAGAAGGGAGTTAAACCTGTCCATCTCATTGCAGATTTGTAGATTTCTCCTTTTAATTATGTCAAATCTTGCTTTTTATTCAAGATTTTTATTCATGTGGTAAAATACTCATGATATATTGTGACATAAAAAAAAGCTGTACCCCTCCAATTTGTTTTTTAAAAGTAATCTATTCAGGGGCATGGATTTGGAGTGGGTCAGATGACTGGGATTCAAAGCCTACTTCATTTGCTCACAGGTTTTGTTACTTCAACTTTCTGAGTCTTGGTTCCATAACCTGTATAATAGGGTTTAACAATAGAATATTTTTTAATGTTTTATTTATTTCTGAGAAAGACAGACAGCGTGAGCAGGGGAGGGTCAGAGAGTGAGGGAGATACAGAATCTGAAAGAAACAGCCTCCAGGCTCTTAGCTAGCTGTCAGCACAGAGCCCGACGCGGGGCTCAAACCCATGAACTGTGAGATCATGACTTGAGCCCAAGTCGGACGCTTAACTGACTGAGCCCCCCAGGCGCCCCTTCCATCTTGTGTTTCTTACATTGAGCCCTCTCCAGTGACCCTGCCCTTTCTCTACGACTCATAACAGAAATGTCAAAACTCTCTGTCTTCAGTTTCTCTCTCTCTTTTCCAACCCACTCAGTAGGGCTTTCTACCCAGGTATTCATCAAAATCTTCCTTCTCAAGGTCACCATCAGCCTCCGCATTGTTACATCCAAAGGTCATTGGATTAAATCCTGGTCCTCCTCTTCCTTAATGAATCAGCATCTGACACTATCAACCTCTCTTTCCTCCTTGACACACTTTCTTTACTTGCTTTCAGAACATTCTACGCCCTCCTGATGCCCCCTCCTCAGACTCACTGCCGGGCCTCCTTAGCTTCCTTCACTGGTTCTTCGTGGAACCTCGTGGAACCTGACTTCTAAATATCAGAGTCCAGTCCTGGGACCCTTTCTCTCTGATCTTCACCCCCATCTTCAACCCCTGGGTGACCTCACTCAGCCTCAAGGTTTGAAACCTTCTACCTTTGACAACTCACATTTCCATCTCCAGCCCAGACACCGCCTCTGAACACCAGAGTTACTGCCTGTGAGTCACAGGTTTCTCTCTCAGACCGGTCTCCCAGTCTTTAGCCGCTGAGGTGCCTCAACTCATGGTCCTCATTGTAGTGACTGCCTGCTCCATTCTTCTAGCCATCCAGGCCGAGCCCCAGGAGATGTCTTTCCCTTGTTGTCACTGCTCGTATCTGAGCCGTCAGCACATTGTGTTTCCTAGTGTGTCTGGAATCCCCCTCGCACCCCACCCAGTGTGAAAGCTGTGGGAGCCACCACCATTTCTTGCCTTGTGGTTGGTTTCTGATCAGCCGGCCTCTTTTATTACCCTTGTCCTTGGGCAGCAGCCAGAGCGATCGTGCTCAAGAGC